ACACCACTTTAACTGCCTCGGTTCAGTGCTAGGCTAGGCAATCAAGTGGATGGTAGTTTTACAAGATCTTGTACACCAAACTACATCTCCATGATTCGTGGCATTGAACCCCATAGCAGTTAGAGTGGTGTCAAAGCGCATTAGTTCTGCAGTGCAGATGCACCCCTTACGAACCATCGAGGACCCTGAGATCATCTGGGGAGGCCCTGCTCTCAGTCCCGCCTTTGACACAAGTACGTCTGGCGGGGACGAGAGACAGGGCCTTCTCGGTGGTAGCCCCTCGGCTATGGAACACCCTCCCTAGGGAGATTAGATCGGTTCCCTCCCTACTAACGATTTGGAGGCAAGTTAAAACATGGTTGTTTGAGCAAGCGTTCACAAATGCAGAGTAAACGACATAGGAAATTGAATGACTTGACGATGGAATTGGACAATGCTTGATAATAAGAGAGATGCTAATGTTGTTATTATTGTTGTTGTTTTATACTGTTTTAATACTTGTTTTATGATATTATGTGTACTGTTGTGTTGGAAACCGCCTTGAGTCGCCGATTGGCTGAGAAAGGTAGTATACAAATACAGTAAATAAATAAATAAATACATACATACATACATACATACATACATACATACATACATACATACAATTTCACTCCAGATATTAAGGTTTCCACAACAAGCATCCCAATAAAACTAAGCAGTAAGCCCCTTCCTTTCGAAACCAAGAACTTCTGGAATTTAACATAGCAAGAGAATGACAGCGTATCTTTCACTCCCCATCACATTTGCTGCTAGTTTTACTATATACAAGCTGAAATAACAGATTCCTCAGCCATAGAGTCGATTTTATGACTGTTTATATGGGACCATAAATGCCAAGAGAGTGGAGCAACGTTAAGCAAAGTGGAGCAACGTTAAGCATTCCTGAATGTCAAAATATATGTGACCTCTTGCACTTCTTTTCCACTGATTGTCAAAATAAAATACTGAACAGTCAGAGAAGGCTAAATACCTTGTAAGACTACAACTCCTATGGTGCCATAGCATTGAGCCATGGCAGATCAAGTGCTGTCGAACTACATTCATTGTTGTGATAGAGTCTACTGGCAGTGATAGTAACACTAGTTGTATTAGGAGAGGCAGGGAAACTATATTCCTTTAATTGGCTGGCGTCTGACCTTGACATTCATTCTACATGTATCCATAATCAATTGAAAAATACGAGGGTTGAATGAAAAGTAATGCCTCCACCTTCGTAACTCCTCAACAGATGGCAGTACTAGTATGCGGAAGGTACTGGCTTGTTCAGTAGACTCTCCTCTACAGTTCCATTTTGGTGGGAAGCCTTAGCATTGAAAGGTTGTGTTGTTCAAGTGAAAGTATGGAACCCTCCACAGACGGTCGGTCAATGCAACTTAAGCAACGTGCAGTCATTGAATTCATAGAATCATAGAATCAAAGAGTTGAAAGAGACCTCATGGGCCATCCAGTCCAACCCCCTGCCAAGAAGCAGGAATATTGCATTCAAATCACCCCTGACAGATGGCCATCCAGCCTCTGTTTAAAAGCTTCCAAAGAAGGAGCCTCCATCACACTCCAGGGCAGAGAGTTCCACTGCTGAACGGCTCTCACAGTCAGGAAGTTCTTCCTCATGTTCAGATGGAATCTCCTCTCTTGTAGTTTGAAGCCATTGTTCCGCGTCCTAGTCTCCAAGGAAGCAGAAAACAAGCTTGCTCCCTCCTCCCTGTGGCTTCCTCTCACATATTTATACATGGCTATCATATCTCCTCTCAGCCTTCTCTTCTTCAGACTAAACATGCCCAGCTCCTTAAGCCGCTCCTCATAGGGCTTGTTCTCCAGACCCTTGATCATTTTAGTCGCCCTCCTCTGGACACATTCCAGCTTGTCAATATCTCTCTTCAATTGTGGTGCCCAGAATTGGACACAATATTCCAGGTGTGGTCTAACCAAAGCAGAATAGAGGGGTAGCATTACTTAGAATCATAGAATCATAGAATCAAAGAGTTGGAAGAGACCTCATGGGCCATCCAGTCCAACCCCCTGCCAAGAAGCAGGAATATTGCATTCAAATCACCCCTGACAAATGGCCATCCAGCCTTTGCTTAAAAGCTTCCAAAGAAGGAGCCTCCACCACACTCCGGGGCAGAGAGTTCCACTGCTGAACGGCTCTCACAGTCAGGAAGTTCTTCCTAATGTTCAGATGGAATCTCCTCTCTGGTAGTTTGAAGCCATTGTTCCGCGTCCTAGTCTCCAAGGAAGCAGAAAACAAGCTTGCTCCCTCCTCCCTGTGGCTTCCTCTCACATATTTATACATGCTATCATATCTCCTCTCAGCAAGTTTAAAGATGTTGAGGTGGGAGCATCTGACTTGCATGACAAACAAAGAGTTGGATGTCCTGTGACAGCAACCACCTAGTTTCACAAGCAAAAAGTCGACAGATTGATTCAGGACGATTGTCGTATCATCCAGAGAGAAATTTCAAGCATAATCGGGATTTCACAAGAATGTGTGGGTCACATTATTGCTTTGCTTGGTTATCGGAAGATCTGTGCACGATGGATTGCGGAAACAGAGTGTCGACTTCTTCTATGATGGCTTCAGAACACTTGTTCATTGCTGGCAGAAATGTATCCAATTGTCTGGTGATTATGTGGAAAAGTGAATAGTGGTTGTTAAAGAGCACAGTTGAAGGATTACTTCTGCATTTGATTTATTAAAATATTCCCACCCAAACCCAAGTAACGAAGGTGGAGGCATTACTTTTCATTCAACCCTCGTAGAAAAGGGTGCATCTACACTGTAAAATAAATGCAGTTTGGCACCACTTTAACTGCCCTGTCTCAATGCTTTGGAACCCTGGGAGTTGTTGTTTTGCAAAGTTTTTAGCCTTTTTTGTCAAATAATGTGCCGCACCTGACTAAAACTCCTTTGATTCCATAGACTTAGTCTATGGCACTTAAAGTGGTGTCAAACTGCATTGATTCTCCCATGTGGACGCATTCTAAGTTGGAAGGGAGACATTCTCAATCCCGATGTCCAATTTCTTTCCAGCACAATAATTTTGGGCTGTACTTTCATTCCATGCTCTGGAATTTCAATAACCTTCTTCATATCCTCCAACTGTCCCAGTCTGTTAAGGACAATCCCAGTTAATTCTCTTTCTTTTACAACTACTTTTTAAATACCCAAGGGTTCATCTACTCTGTAGAAGTAATGCAGTTTGAGACCACTTTGACTGCCATGGCTCAATGGTATGGAACCCTGGGATCTGTAGTTTAGTGAGGCACTAGCACTCTTTAATTATTGATTTATGGGGAGCCCATCAATTTCATAGGATTTTCTTAGAGAAAGAATACTTCGAGGTGGCTTTGCCAATTCCTTCCTTTGAAATTTCACCTGCAGCTCCCCATAATTGTGATGGTCTTCCACTCAAGGATTACCAGTGCTGTCCCTGCTTAGCTTCCAAGATCATAGCTAATCATCTCCCAACAAAGTATTCCCCCAGGCAGGAAGAGGCCAAGCCTTGAAGCTGCAAGGCTATTCAATGATAATCAAGGTGGCCAATTGCAACATTCTCACTTGCCTCAAACAGACAAGACTTCTTTCTCCCACCCTGGACATTTAACAGATATATAAACTCTACTTAGAATCATAGAATCACAGAGTTGGAAGAGACTTTGTGGGCCTTGCAGTCCAACCCCATTCTGCCAAGAAGCAGGAATCACATTCAAAGCACTCCTGACAGATGGTCATCCAGCTTCTGTTTAAAAACCTCCAAAGAAGGAGTCTCCACCACTCTCTGGGCAGAGAGTTCCACTGCTGAACAGCTCTCTTCATTAGGAAGTTCTTCCTAAAGTTCAGGTGGAATCTCCTTTATTTCCTGTAGTTTGAAGCCATTGTTTCACGTCCTAATCTCCAGGACAACAGAAAACAAGCTTGCTCCTTCTTCCCTATGACTTCCCTTCACATATTGATACATCATGTCCCCTCTCAGCCTTCTCTTCTGCAGACGCATAGGGCTTGTTCTCCAGACCTTTGATTATTTTAGTCTCCCGCCTGTGGACACATTCCAGCTTGTCAACATTTCCCTTCAATTATGCTGCCCAGAATTGGACACAGTGTGATTCCAGGTGTGGTCTGACCAAGGCAGAAGAGAGCATGGGGAGAATGACTTCCCTGGATCTAGACCAGTGGTTCTCAACTTGGGGTCCCCAGGTGTTTTTGGCCTTCAATTCCCAGAAATCCTAACAGCTGGTAAACTGGCTGGGATTTCTGGGAGCTGTAGGCCAAAAACATCTGGAGACCCCAGGTTGAGAACCACTGATCTAGACACTAGACTCCTATTGATGCAGGCCAATAGGAGTATAGTGTCTAGATCCAGGGAAGTCATGCTACCCATGCTCTATTCTGCCAGATCAAGCATGATCTGGTGCCTTTAAAGTATTTGGGCCCTAAATACAGTTCCTAAAACAGATGTTTGCCAAGCAATAACAATAATCAATATTTTCAATAAATATAAAGCATTGAGTGACAAAAATAAACGAATCACAGAGGCAGACACTTGAAATTCAGTTTATTTTAGCTCTATGAGTTTATTTTAGCTCTTCTGGCAGGTGATTTGACTGAGGGTACATCTACGAACCGACCAGGACTTTAAGATTGTTTCGGGAGCCCCTGCTCTTGGTCCCGCCTCCGTCACAAGTACAGCTGGTGGGAACGAGAGAAAGGGCCTTCTCAGTGGTGGCCCCTTGGCTATGGAACACCCTCCCTAAGGATATCAGATAACCCCCCTCCCTTTTAACATTTCGAAAGAGAGTCAAGACTTGGCTTTTTGAGGAGGCATTTGCAAATATAGTGTAATTTAGTCACACTATAATTTAGGAAAATAATACTATAATTTAGGAAAATGGAATGGTTGGATGATGTAATTGGACAAGACCCTAATGAAGACCCTAATGTTCATGTTGTTACTGATTTTATCATAGTTTTATTACTCAATTGTTTTTATTGTATTGAAATAGTATTTTTTGGTCTTGGCACCAACTGTCAACCGCCCCAAGTCACCTGCGGGCTGAGAGGGACGGTATATAAATATAGTAAATAAATAAATAAATAAATAAATAAAATACACTGTAGAATGAATACAGTTTGGCAGTACTTTAAGTGCCTGGCTCAATGCTGTGGAATCCTGGGAGCTGTAGTTTTGTGAGGCACCAGCACTCTTTGGCAGAGAAGGCTAAAGACCTTGCAAAGCTGGAACTCCCATAGAATTGAGCCATGGCACTTAAAGTGGCATCAAACTGTGTTAAATCTACAGTGTAAATGCATTCTGAGAGAAGTCAAGGTGATGAAGCGGTTTATACAAATCTCTGATAAGAAACAAGTTCAGCACAGCAAACGTGTCAGGATTGTGTCTGAACTGGCTCTTTTTTAACAGGCTGCATTGCTTTCTTTGCAAAGTGAAATTCCACTGTAGGGCTGTGGAAGCATAAGCAACGCAGCTGGACAGGGAAGCCGCTTCATCCCATTTGTTGTTGCTGAAAATATGATGTTAACCAGGCCAGCCGCCATGTCCCTTAAGCAACAAGTGTGGGCATCTGTTTTATCACAGCCTCAGGGGGGAAAAAACGAATCATTTCAATGTTTGCACAGCCAACACGTTCTGTAACAACATCTCCCACCCAAGAGCGATCTGGCCCATCTGTCCAGTTTAGCACAAAGTTGGTGCAACAATGATTTAGACTCTGGAGGAAACACTTGGATTTGGAAATGCTTCTCTAAACTACAGATGTGGCCAGCACTCCAGGGGTGCATCTACACCAGTGTTTCTCAACCTTCCTAATGCCGCAACCCCTAAATACAGTTCCTCATGTTGTGGTGACCTCCAACCATAAAATTATTTTCATTGCTACTTCATAACTGTAATTTTGCTACTGCTTTGAACCGTAATGCAAACATCTGATATGCAGGATGTATTTTCAATCACTGGACCAAATTTGGCACAAATACCCAAATGCTGCTGGGATGGGGGGGGGAGGGGGGATTGATTTTGTCATTTGGGAGGTGTAGTTGCTGGGATTTATAGTTCACCTACAATCAAAGAGCATGCTGAACTCCACCAGTGATGGAATTGAACCAAACTTGGCACACAGAACTCCCATAACCAAAAAGAAATACTGGAAGGGTTTGATGGGCACTGATTGAGTTTTGGAGTTGTAGTTCACCTACATCCAGAGAGCACTGTGGACTCAAACAATGATGGATCTGGACCAAACTTGGCACAGAAACTCAATATGCCCAAATGTGAACACTGGTGGAGTTTGGGAAAATAGACCTTGACATTTGGGAGTTGTCGTTGCTGGGATTTATAGTTCACCTACAATCAAAGAGCATTCTGAACTCCACCAACAATGGAATTGAACAAAACTTGGCACACAGAACTCCCATGACCACAGAAAATACTGGAAGGGTTTGGTGGGCATTGACCCTGAGTTTTGGAGTTGTAGTTCACCTACATCCAGAGAGCACTGTGGACTCAAACAATGATGGATCTGGACCAAACTTGGCACAAATACTCAATATGCCCAAATGTGAACACTGGTGGAATTTGGGGAAAATAGACCTTGACATTTGGGAGTTGTAGTTGCTGGGATTTATAGTTCACCTACAATCAAAGAGCATTCTGAAACTCCACCAACGATAGAATTGGGCCAAACTCCCCACAAGAACCCTTTTCAACAGAAAATACTGGAAGTGTTTGGTGGGCATTGACCTTGAGTTTGGGAGTTGTAGTTTCACCTACATCCAGAGAGCACTGTGGACTCAAACAATGATGGATCTGGACCAAACTTGGCACAAATACTCAATGTGTCCAAATATGAACACAGATGGAATTTGGGGAAAATAGACCTTGACATTTGGGAGTTGTGGTTGCTGGGATTTATAGTTCACTCACCCTCAAAGAGCATTCTGAACTCCACCAACAATGGAATTGAATCAAACTTGGCATGCAGAACTCCCATAACCAACAAGTCCAGCTAACACCTCCCAACAAAGGATCCCCCAGGCAGGAAGCAGTCAAGCTTTGAAGCTACAATGCCATTCAATGCAAATCAAGGTGGCCAATTGCAACATTCACACTTGCCTCAAACAGACAATAGTTCTTTCTCTCACCCTGGACATCATTCCACAGGTATATAAACCTCACTTGCCTAGTTTCCAACAGACCTCCCAACTTCTAAGGATGCCTGCCACAGATGTAGATGAAACATCAGGAGAGAATGTTTCCGGAACATGGCCATACAGTGCAGAAAACTCATAGCAACCCAGTGATTCTGGCCATGAAAGCTTTCGACAACCCAGCAAAATAAAAGATCCTTTCTAACAATTTAAGAAGATCTTTCCTGATGGAAAGCGCTGTTCAGCAGCGGAATGGACTCTCCTCCTTTGGAGGTTTTTACATAGAGGCTGGATGGCCATCTGTCAGGAGTGCTTTTGCAGTATTCCTGAATAGCAATGAGCTGGACTAAATGCTCTTTGTAGCCTCTTAAATCTCAGTGATTCTATGAGTTGTAGGCAGGTTTTAAAAAGCCAACAAAGGAAAAGCAGGAGGATTAATCTCAAACTCTGCTTTATATTGCTTTTTTGTGAAGGTAATAAATGACTCTAGAGCAGGCATGAGCAAACTTGGGCCCTCCAGGTGTTTTGGACTCCAACTCCCACAACTCCTGTTAGGAATTGTGGGAGTTTAAGTCCAAAACACCTCTAGGGCCCAAGTTTGCTCAGGCCTGCTCTAGGGTTTTTGTTTTGTGTGTTTGCCTGTCAATCTATCCAGCATGTCCCAATGAATCATTCCATGGGTTTATTTAGTTAGGTGCTCTCGAAGCAAAGAAAGACACACACCTCTAGCTTTGAATAAGATCCCATATAAAGGACAGAGAATTTACAAAGGGATTATGATGAACAGTTAGAAAAACAACACACACAATTCAAAATATGCAGAGTGAAATTGCACTAAGAAGGGTGTGTGAGTGTGTGTTGCAACTCCAACAGAAAAGAATAAACATTCAAACATTCCATATTCTGGGTTGTTGTGAGTTTTCCGGGCTGTATGGCCATGTTCCAGAAGCATTCTCTCCTGACGTTTCACCTGCATCTGTGACAGGCATTCTCAGAGGTTGTGAGGTCTGTTGGAAACTAGGAACAGTCTTCACAACCTCTGAGTTGTGAACAGAAAAGAATAAACATTCAAACATTCCATATTCTGGGTTGTTGCAGGTTTTCTGGGCTGTATGGTCATGTTCCAGAAGCATTCTCTCCTGACATTTTGCCTGCATCTATGGCAGGCATCCTCAGAGGTTGTGAGGTCTGTTGGAAACAAGGAACAGTTTTCACAACCTCTGAGATGTGAACAGAAAAGAATAAACATTCAAACATTCTATATTCTGGGGTGTTGTGAGTTTTCCGGGCTGTATGGCCACGTTCCAGAAACATTCTCTCCTGACGTTTCACCTGCATCTATGGCAGGCATCCTCAGAGGTTGTGAGGTCTGTTGGAAACAAGGAACAGACTTCACAGCCTCTGAGGATGCTTGCCATAGATGCAGGTGAAATGTCAGGAGAGAATGCTTCTGGAACATGGCCATACAGCCCAGAAAACTCATAACAACCCAGTGATTCTGGCCATGAAAACCTTCAACAAGACATTCCATATTCTGTTACTGAGAGTCTTGACTTATGCAAGTAAGAAAAAGCTAAATAATTGTAGGTTGGACTCTTCTAAAGGTAATGGGATCCGATCCCCACAACTCCTTCCCTGCTTCATTATATTAGTCTTTTCTGAGCCACAAATCTGGAGACATTCCACAGCAATATATATTTCAGAGCTGGCCAAAATGAATCTTTTTGGGGACTACAAGTTTCATGCTCCCCAGACAGCATGACCACACTGCTAGCTGGGGGATTCTGGGCATTGTAGTCCCTAAAACAAACTTCTCCAAGTTCTGAGAAGAAGAGGAAGAAAAGGAGAAGGAAGGCAGAGTATTTACAGTTTTAAACTCACATTGTCAATGAGGTTGTAATCCGTAATCTCAGCCTCTTGCAATTCCTTGGCCAAGAATTCAGGATCCTGCTGCCCAGAAATGACCGAAAATCCACAGCATAAGAATGAGACTAGCAGGATCATAGTGGGGAGAAAAGACATCCAGAATAACCTGCTAATTCAGAAGGAACTAGGAGAAAAATGGAAAAAGGGGGAAATGTTCCTGGATATTGGAGCCACTGCTTGCAGCTTGCAGAGGGAAAAAAGCATTTGAGATGAGTTTGCTTGGCTGTTGGCCTCACCCTTCCCTCCTCCTCTTCTCTGCCCGGAGCAGTCCTTTCACTGGAGTTCATAGCCAAGGTTGGGGTTTCCTTGCCGGAGCTGCATTTGCCAGAAAATAGGGAGCAGGGAAACATTTTCGGCTGGGTTTCCTGATAAATCCCATGTTCAGAATTTAATTTGGGGAAAGGGACCTCTGATCACGTGAAGAATGCTGGGGACCTTGTTAGTATTTTGTCTGCACTCTAAATTAGGCTACAATACGCCATAAAGGGAGTGTGGTGTTGCAGTGGGTTAAACCACTAACATGCAGAACTTGCTGATTGGAAGGTTGGCAGTTCGAATCCACGGATGGGGTGAGCTCCTGTTGTTAGCCCCAGCTTCTGCCAACTTAACAATTCAAAAACATGCACATGTGAGTAGATCAATAGGTACCGCTTTTGCGGGAAGGTAACAGCGCTCCATGCAGTCATGCTGGCTACATGACCTAGGAGGTGTCTACTGACAACGCCGGCTCTTCAGCTTAGAATTGGAAATGAGCACCACCACCCCCCCCTCCCAGATTTGGACACGGCTTTAGAGGTGTCTACGGACAACGCCGGCTCTTTGGCTTAGAAATGGAGATAAGCACCACCTTTAGAGTCAGACACAACTAGACTTAATGTCAAGGGGAAACCTTTACCTTTTGGGCATAAAGGGACCAAGGGCCATTGTTGTG